AAATAGTTCTTTTTGAAAGAAAAAAACTTCAGGAGAAAGAAATTTCAGGAGAATGTTTCCGCATAATCAGGGACTTCTCACAAACTCGAATTCAGTTCCTAAGTATCCCGAGGTCTCACGCATGATCACGTGGAAGTTTTGTCTCAAAAATCATTAGAAAGCCAGAAAATTAGGAAATTGAAATTTTGGAAGTATATTCACCCTTCGAGGTTTCAAATTCAGCTAAACTGGCTATTCCCGGATGAAACAAGACGAATTTCGGATTGTCAGTAGTACGCCAACTGGACAATTACAAGTGACCCAAATATTTCATGTAAGTTATAAATATAACAATTTTTGCCAAAAAAATTTTTTTGAGCAAATTTTTTTTTTTCAAAAAAAAGCAAAAAAAAAAAAGAAAAAATCAAAGCAAAACTATCAGTTTTGAGTGCTGTAAACAGCAAAATAAGCTTGCAGGGAAAGCAAAAGTGACACGAAGTATTGAATTCCTGCTCGGTCAATTTAGGACAGCCATCATCATCAATTAACATCATACCTCTCCGATGGATTAACACGGCCGATACTTTGCTGAGAGCCAAACATCGCGCTCAGAGCTGATATGAACGAGCTGACCGATGATCGGGAGGTGCTTCGCCGCACCCCTGAATCATCCAGGCCACGATGCACAACAACCGGCCAATCACCCATTGTCAGGCGTGCTTCATGAAAGCGGAATTCAGGACATGATAAACTCGAGATTGTTGGCTTTCTGAAAATGCGCGAAAAAAAAATGCACTGAGGGGAACTTATTCGCTCGAAATACAAGAGAAATCACAAATAAGGAGGGGAAGGGGGGGAGGGACTCAAAAACTGACCGATATAGCCGGAGAAGCAGGGAAGAAGTGACAACACTGACTGATGATAAAGCCATTGCTGCTGCTGCCATCCATGGCTGAATTGCAAAATTCCAGGGCCTGAAAACACCTGAAAAACACGAACTCTACCGAACCGTAACTGATGCTTTTGTAATCGTTTTCCCGTTAACTCAACTCTCTCCCCCCCCGCCCCGCCTCTCCCAGGGGTTAAGGTAGCATTTGTTTTACTGTAGAAATCTGTGTCCAGT